AGTGAAACATTTGGTGCCAGAAGCAGTATTAGAAAAAAGGCACCACATCCTGGCCAGTGTGGCTCAATAGGTTGGGCATCATCCCATACACCAAAAGGTTGCCAGTTCAATTCCCAGTCAGGGCACAGGCCAGGTTGTGGGCTCAATCACTGATGGGGGGCTGTACAGCAAGCACCTGATCCATGTTTCACTCTCACATCGATGTTTCTCTCTCTCACTCTTCCTCCCTCTCTAAAAACCAATAAAAATATTTTTAAAAGAAAAAGACACAACACAGCAATAAAAAATATTGGTAAATACAACAGACTTTCTTTCTCCTCTTGCATTTTCTAAACTATATTTGGCAGTTGAAGCATAACTGTAACACTGTCATGTGTTCAAAATGCACATAGAGGAAATATTTAAGGCAATTATATACAGGGGAAGGTAAAGAGAAGTAAAGTTTTTATACTTTCTTAAACTGGTAAAATAATATTAGTAGACTCTGGTCAATTATGTATAGATTATGTAATACCTACAGCATTCAAGAGAAACACTATATTTAAAGATATTATAGATAAGTCAAAATAGAATTCCAAAAAATATTTAAGAACCCATAGGAAGGCAGGAAAAAAAAGAACTCAAAAAGGCAGATGTGAACCCTAACATACCAGTAATTACATTAACTGTAAATAGTCCAAAAACACCAAATGAAAGACAGAGATTGACAGAATATTTTTAAAAAAATCATAACCCAACTATATGCTCTCATAAGAAACTCGCTTCATATATGATTATAGACAGCTTAACCTAAGAAAATGAGAAAAGATATATCATAGAAATTAGGGTACTATATTAATACCTAATAAAGTAAACTTCAGAGCAAAAATAATTACTACAGACTGAAAGGGACATTTATATAATGATAAAAGGATAAATCCATCAAGACATAGCAATCCTAAATAGATATGCACCAAACAACAGAGACACACAAAAATTAACTCCAAATGGATCATGTTTTCCAATCTATAATAATAAAAGTGTAATATGCTAATTAGACTGGACAGCTGAACTGTGGGAAACTGTTTATTGCCTTCACTATCTGATAAGCATAGACAGAGAACTCCCCGAAACACCCCCCCCCCCCCCCCCAAGGCTGGGTGCCTTTGAAGCCCTAGCAAAGCTCGGAGCTAGGCGCCACCTCTGTTTGTCCAGACAGTGGTAGCTGAAACTATTCCCCCATTTATTATTATGTAAATCCTTGCTGATGGGCTAGTCTGCTTTTTACTAGGGGGTCACCTGCCTAAGGGCTATGCTATGGGTGCATCCCAGATGAATAAAAGCTTGGTGAGGCCTGAGCACAGAGGAAGTCCTTCGGGACTTGCCGCCTGGTCCCCCAATATTGCAAAATTATCTCGTGTCTTTTTCTCTCATTTGTTGTGTGGCTCCTCTTTCAGATACCGAACCCTACTCCACGCAGAACGTGGAGGGAGTCTTACTCAACACTGAACAACCTTCCGGACGTCATTCTGGACATCGTTCCGGATGAAGCCACCATGGCGGGGGCCGAGGCCGAGGCAGTTAGGGGCGATAAGGCAGGCAGGCGAGCAGTTAGGGGTGATCAGGCAGGCAGGCAGAGTGGTTAGGGGCAATTGGGCCTAAACTGGCAGTCGGACATCCCCTGAGGGGTCCAGAATTGCGAGAGGGTGCAGGCTGGGCTGAGGGCCCCCCCCCACTCCCCCGTGCATGAATTTTGTGCACTGGGCCTCTAGTAAGATATAAAAGGAGTAACTGGCAAGAAAGACAATCAAATATTTAGTTCTGTGCTTTTGTTCTGTTAGCAATGAAGAATTTTCCTTGACAATCATAGAAAAAAAATTAACAACACAGACCTAAATGTAAAATTGTAAGAATTTTAGAACAAAACATAGAAGAAAATCTTTGGGACCTAACCCTAACAGTTCTTAGACTTGACATTAAAAGTACAATCCATAAACAAAAAAATTAATAAACTAGACTTCATTGAAATAAAAAAAAACTTTTACTCTGAAAGACCCTGCTAAGAGAATGAAAAAAAAAGCTGTAGATTGGGAGAAAATATGTACAAACCACATATCCAACAAAAGAATACTATTCAAAATATATAAAGAACACTCACAATAGTAAAGAAATAAGCAATCCAATTAGAAAATGGACAAAAGACATAAGCAATTGTGAGGGTCGCCGAAGGAGGAATGCATGAGTCCAAAAGGGGTGAAGAATTATGAATTTATTAGATTTTCTGGATACCAGATGGGTTCAGCCCCAAAATGGCTCCATATATCTTACTAGAGCCCCCAGGGACTTGGAGTCAGAGGTTTTTAAAGGTGGGCTTTTTCTGGGAGGAGAATTCTCTGTGCAGTTCGGGATTCTGGGAAACTCCGAGGGGAGAGATAATAGCAGGTGGAATGTGGTCTAAGCAAGTGGAATGTCCATTGTGAAGTGACCTAAAGGTCAGTTCCCAGGTGAGGGAGCATCGATTCAATTATTCTATCAGACCTAACAGCAGTATTTCACCAAAGAAAATAAACAGATGGAAAATAAGTACATGAAAAGATATTCAACGTCATTAGCCATTAGAGAAATGCAAATTTAAACCACAATGAGATATTATATCACATCTACCAGAATGACTAAAATAAAAATACGACAATAAATGTGGACAAGGATGGAGAGAAACTAGATCACTCACACATTGCTGATGGGAATATATAAAATAGTAGAACTACTCTAGAAAACAGTTTGGCAGTTTCTTAAAAACAAACAAACAAACAAACAAACAAACATAAAACTACCACATAACCTAGCTATTTCACTGCTGGGTATTTATTCCAGAGAAATGAAGACTTCTATTCACAGAAAACCCAGTAACATGAATATTTACAGTAGCTTCAGTCCTAATAGCCCAAAACTGGGAACAAACCAGATGTTCTTCAAGGAGTGAATAAACCAACTGTGGTACATCCATACCATGGAATAGTACTCAACAATAAAAAGCAATGTATCACTGATACACACATGCTGGAGTCCATTCATTGTCTTCACTAGCTGAGTTTAGATAGAGACCCCCCAAAAGCTAGTAGCCCTTGAAAGTCCTAGTAAAGGTCAGGGCTTGAAAGTCCTAGCAAAGGTCAGGGCTGTGCACCACCCAGTTAATCTAGGAACCACTCAGTTAATTTAGGTAATAATAGTTGAAGCATCCCCACCTTAGTTCACTTAATTCCTTAGATACTTATGTAGATCCTTGTTGATTATTGTTAATCAGATACTCCCGGAAATCTAATGATGAGCTAATCAGATACTTTGTCTATTCCTGGAAATTGTCTGCTGATCTGTGTGTCATTGAAACCTCCTTACCCTAAGGGCTACTCCAGATCAATAAAAGATTGGAGCGGCCTGAGCATCAGAGGAAGTCCTTCGGGACTTGCCGCCTGGTCCCCCAATATTGCAAAATTATCTCGTGTCTTTTTCTCTCATTTGTTGTGCGGCTCCTCTTTCAGATACCGAACCCTACTCCACACAGAACGTGGAGGGAGTCTTACTCGACACACACACCTAGATGAATCTCTAAAGAATGATGTTGAGTGGCAAAAAGTCAATCCCACAGATTACCAAAAGGTATTTTATGATTCCATTTATGTAACATTCATGAAATAAAATTATAGAAATGGAGAACAGTTTAATGATTTCCAGAGTGGGGAAGGAGTGGGATTAGGGAGGGAAGTGGGTGTAGCTATAAAAGGACAACCTGAGGGACTCTTGTGATGGAAATGCTCTGTATCTGACTGTATCATTCTCAATATCCCAGTTGTAACACTGTACTACAGTTTGGCCAGATGTTTCATTGGGGGAAACTAGGTAAAAGGAACATGGGCTATCTCTCTGTCTCAGCTGCTACATATAAATCTACAATTATCTCAAAATAAGAACTTCAGTTTTTAAAAAGTGAAAAAGGCATGAGAGGAAAGAAATCAAGCCAGGCGAAGATTTAGGCTGACTGAGCAAATAAGAAAATAGGCACTAAATCAAAGGACCCTTCTAATCCTCTGGTGGTAAGTGGTAGGTGGGGATCATTTCTGTTTTCTCAGAGCAGACACAGGAGGGCAAATGCTTTAAAGGCTCCTACGTGATTTCCTACTATTTATTTTTTCTTCACCCAATTTTCTTCTTTCCTCTGCCTCTAGGATCTTAGCGAGATCATTAGTAACATAGAGGAAGGGGACAAACCCATGCCTTTTCCTTCTCCCTCCACTATAGGCCTGATCGAAATGACAAAGTACATCTCCAAAGATGCCAGCTACACAAGGGAAAGGAAAGAAATAAAAGAAGCTAAGAAACAAGAAGGGCTGTGCAAGCAACCCAAGTTGTGTCCATCAACAGATGAATGGATAAACAAAATGTGGCATATGCATACAGTGAATACCACTCAACAATAAAAAGAAAATTCTGACACCTGCCACAACATGCATAACCCTTGAGGACATTATTCTCAGTGAAATAAGCCAATCACAAAAGGAGAAATACTGTATGATTCCTCTTATCATGAGGAACCCAGAGTAGTCAAATTCCTAGAGACAGAAAATAAAATGGTAATTGTCAAGGGCTGGGGTAGGAGAATTAGTGTTTAATGGGGGCAGAATTTCAATTTGGGAAGATGGAAAAGTTCTTTGGATGGAGGTAGTGATGGTTGCACAACACTGTGAATGTACTTAATGCCACTTAACTATACATTTAAAAATGGTTAAAATGCTAACTAATGTGATATATATATTAACACAATTTATAAAAAGTTAATTATAAAAAAAATTAAGTTTTGGGATAGCATCTTTTCATTGAAGAAAAAATGTTTGAAATCTAGAAAATCAGTTTGAAATCACAAGTGGAACTCAGTTTTTTGAAGACTCAAAGCAACTTTCTGACAACATCTTACTAGGAAAACCACCACACTGGTGAGTGTACACAGTCCTAAAAGATGCCCTTACCAAGAAATGTTGGCCGCACTTCTGGGTCCGCATCCCAGCACTGCTTCATGAGGCTGATAATCTCCTTTGGGCAGTACTCAATGATTTCATTCACATTTGGCCTATTCCCGGATTTAATACATATAAGCAGCTGCTGCTCATTGATAGCATCTGTAAAGCAAAGAGGAGCCTCAGTTTAAGACTTTCTTTTAGGTCCTGCTCTTCTTGGGCAGGGAGGTGACAGGACTTGGACCAGCCACTAATCTCTCTCTGCCTGGGACATACTTTTAGTAAAGCTGCTCCTCCGACAGGGGCAGAAGGGCCCTGTGGCTAGGAGCCACACAACATTTTAATTTCTGCAGATGAAAGACAGAATTCACAAGAAAGCTGCCTCCTGGTAGAACAGGTGGAATATTAATGAGTGACTTAAAATGTAGAGTGATAATTGCTACTCAGGAAGTACAAGGTTCTGAGAACACAACCTTCACCAGATGGTCAGAGAAAGCTTTGTGGAGTCCAGAAAAATAAGGAGTTATCCAGGTAAGGAATGGGGAAGGAGGACTCAGAGAGGATGACTACGGGCTAGGGAAGTAGGATATAAATAGATTGGAGGTTCCATAAATTATGATGTATCCCAGAATCATGAGTAGTTCAGTATGACTGAGCATATTGCCTAAGGAAAGAGGAGTAAAGATAGAGAAAGAAGCAAAAGCCAACTCAGAAAGGGCCTAGTATTGCATACTGAGGAATTTGAACTTTATCTTTAAGGCCCCAGAGTCTCTTGTAAGATTTTTTTTAAACAGATCAGTGAGACGATCATATTTTCTTTGGGGATGCCCATTTGGGCTGCAGTGTGAGTGATGGATGCCTATGAGGAGCCTACTGCAGAAATATGAAGGGTTTGACTAAATAGAGTCCAGTGGTGATAGAAAGAAGTGGGCGGACTGAAGGTGTATCTTGAAGCATATATATACTTTGACTTTGTAAGTTTGGATGTCTGATTGTATGTGGGAGATGAGGAAAAAGGCTGAATGACTAAGGTTTCTGGTTGGGCGACTCAGCAGATGCCATCGCTGAACATAACAAGAGCTGCAAAGCTGAGTGGGCTACAGGAGAGCAGGTAGATGAATTTGCATGAGGGAATGTTGCTTTGTGGTTCCTCTGGTACATGGAATAGTTCTAACAGACAAGTGGATATCTAGGCCAGGGCTAGAGATAAGAGATTTGAGAGGCATGGGCAAAGAGGTGATCATTGAACCAGGGGACCTCATAATCACCCAAAGAAGAATGGGTAGGAAAATGTCTGTTAGTTTAGGCACTTAACATCCTGAAGAATGACTACTTATGTATCTGTTCTACATGAACCATGTCTATCTCATCTTTACATTCTCAATTCTGGTTAAAATGCCCATAGAGGTTCTGAAATGAAATAGCTCTTGAATGAAGGAGTGAATGGATACAAGTCATCTGACATGCATGCCTTATAGGACGAAAGGGTAAGTCCTCACATGCAGAAGCCAGCAAGCTTTCTTGTCCAGGAAGAGTCCTGGAATTTCACAGCACCTCCTGAGCTTAGATGCATTATCACGGCTCCTGTTGGTCCTGTGGCCCCTGATTCCTAAACTGAGGTTATTCATTCAGTCAATAATACTTTACTGAGCACCTACTATGTTTCTGGCACTGTGTGTGCAGACACTTGGGAAATGGAGAGAATAAATCAGATGTGGTCCCAGCCCTTGCAGACCTTAAAGTCTAGTGGGTAAGACAGACATTAAATGAACAAACCATTATAAATTTTAATTCACTTCATTGAAGGCCATTATCTCATTTAATAATTTTGATGAATACCCAAATCCCACTCCTGTATAAATGTCTTACTTTCATATGGCTCCTTGTTTGCAAATATTGCCCACAGTACTATGGCAAAGCTGTACACGTCCGACTTATCCGAGGGCCTGGCGTTGATGTCATTCAGGTGCTCGGGCGCCATGTAGTAGAGGGTGCCACCATTTTTCTTAGAGAGACTGTCCGCTTTCCTCTGCTCATTGTGTTCCTCTTTAGTCAGCTTACTCCACGTCTTAAAGGATGCAACGCCAAGGTCAGCTATCTGCAAGTGATCAAACCAACGGGATTGTTCTATGAAGATGGCAAGCAGATCAGATTTGTCTTGAAATTCGGGACTCACCAAATAGATTGGAGGTATAGTGAACTTTCCAGAAATGGTTGCAGTGGATAGTGTTAAAATAGCTACTTCTGGACAGACTCAGAAACTTTGTATTTTCTCAGTCATTTAGAAAACCTTCCTTAAGAAATGTCCATGTGAAGTTCTGGTATCTCAATTCTTATGTAACTGGAAAAAACAGGAAATCTGCTGGAGCAGTTGGTGGGAGGGGAGGGAAGGAGGTGAAACAGAAGACATTTCTGACATGAACAACAAAACACATTTGTCCTAATTTTTCATTGACTGTGCAATTGTTTTCCAACTATTTCTGGAGGAAAAACAATAATTTCTTCTGAGCATGCTTACATAGCAGACAGTGATGAGGTATTGCACCTTCTATTTTCCAAAACGGTGTCCGAAAGCCCATGGATGCTAGTCTCCAAGGGTCCCAAAGACACTGAGGACAGGGCTGTGCTGCTACTGGCTTTGAGTTGGTAGCCTCAACTGAACCTAAGAGAAGATGGGAGGGGAAGGAGGAGAAAAACTGACAAAAAGCAGAGAGAGAAAAACACCAACATCAGACACAAAAACAGAGAGAAGTGGCGGGCAAAACAACAGAACAGTACAGTGACTGAGAAATCAAAGGTGTCAGTTTCACTTCTGCCTCTAGGAATCCAGCATCTGCAGATGAATTCTGGCACGTGGTTATGTAAAACCCACAGATTCTAACATAATAGATATGTTATTAATGTAAAGAAGGAACTTTCCTCTTAAGACAGGAATAAAAACCCATCAAAGATGAGGATGAAGTGTTAGAAGAACCCTCTAGCAAAGAGGAACGTCTGTGAAAGCAGTCCCACAGTCCTCACCCCTAGGCCTCTTCCCCTTTCAGATTTTTGCACTTGGATCCCTGCTGCCAGAGCCAATTAGCTATGCTGACCCCACCTACTTAAATATAAAGTGAACAACAACAAAATCCCTTTCTCGTTTCCTTTCCTGTGATGAAAAGAGTTGGAGTTTTCAAAAGGAAACATAAAAAATGCAGATGAAAGTACATAAATCCATAAAAAATATAAACTCCGTCAAGTCTGTGTCTTTCTTTTCAGTCCTTGGCACCACCGTCACCATGAGAAACCGAGGCAGGTCTTCATTTAGAGTCACCATGTACCAACATGGATTCACAGTGAAGAGTTACAACTAAAATCACCCAAGCTTCTACAGCCTTTGGATTATGGCTTACCTTAATGTGAAAGTTGTCATCAACGAGGATATTTTCAGGCTTTAGGTCCTTGTGTATTACACCTTCTCCATGTAAATAGAGCATTCCTTCAATGATCTCCATAATTATCCTTCCTTTTACAGAAAGGGGGATGCTGATCTAAAACAAGTAACATTAAGTGTATGAAATGGAAAGGCAATCAAACACGCCAAAGCAACTCAGGGGTAGTGGGGGCTGCACCTGAGGATGCAGTTACCTGACTCCTCTCCGCTCTGTAGCGCTGAGGACATTGCAAAACAGGCCCCCTTTTGAAGAAAGAGTTCGTCATAGGTGCTGAGGGTATTAATGGCGTGTTTTTCAGTGTAAAACTAAAACTTCCATGACAATATGCTAATATATAAAAATGATATCCAATTAAGCTCCTTGAGAATAAAACATTATTATTATTATTATTATTATTATTATTATTATTATTATTACTAGTAGTCCGGTGCATGAAATTTGTGCACATTAGAAGGGAATTAATTGCCCTAACTGGTTTGTGGATAGAGCATTGGCCTGCGGACTCAAGGGTCCTGGGTTGGATTCCAGTTAAGGGCACGAACCTTGGTTGCGGGCATATCCCCAGTGGGGAGTGTGCAGGAGGCAACTGATCAATGTTTCTAACTCTCTATCCCTCCCCCTTCCTCTCTGTAAAAAATTAATAAAATATATTTTTTTTAAAAAAGGAATGAATTAGCAGAGATATTTTTTTTTTTTAATAGATTTTATTGATATTTTACAGAGAGAAAGGGAGAGAGATAGAGAGTTAGAAACATCGATGAGAGAGAAACATCGATCAGCTGCCTCCTGCACATCCCCTACTGGGGAAGTGCCCGCAACCCAGGTACATGCCCTTGACCGGAATCGAACCCGGGACCTTTCAGTCCGCAGGCCGACGCTCTATCCACTGAGCCAAACCGGTTTCGGCTAGCAGAGATATTTTAACATTGCTATTTGCCCTTTCTCTATAATAGAAATGTGAGAGATGAAAGGAAATTAGTAAAATGTATATGAAAATAATATATAAATTTATTAATAAATAAACAGTAACAAAATGATATAACAACAACAGAGGCATGATATAAAAATGACAAAAACATGATATGAAAACAACAAAAACATGATATTAAAAACAACAGTGATGCAAACAATGACTGATAAAGTGATTAAACTTATTCTAATATCTCCCTGTACACCACATTAAGAGTGAAAACACTTTCAGAGTGCTTGACTAATTTCCCTTGTGATGAAGTACTTAGAACTTTAACTGTAACATCACATGCTCTTCAAACTCGAGAGAAAGCAACATATAACTGACCATGTGCAAAAACGGGTTCAGGTAGGAACATGCCTACTCTGTCTAGAGTTTGTCCTTGTGATTTATTAATAGTCATCACAAATGCTGGCATCACGGGAAACCGTCGTCAAATCAATTTAAGTGGGAGGCCAGTGTCAGATGGGGACAAATTAATTTTTGGAATCAGAACAGCCTCTCCCTCTGCAGATCCTGTTAATACTTCAGCTTTGATAATGTTAGGTCGTAATCTTTTGATAATAAATCTGGTACCATTACAAAGACCCCATTTACTATTAAGATTTCTCAATAGCATGATGATTGCACCCACTTTCAATTTTAATTTATGACACGGCATTCCCGAAGGAGTAATACTATTCAGAAATTCGATGGGGAAATTTTCCTTTGTTTCTTTGTTATGGGGTGGGGCCACAACATTAGTAACAAAGAAACAGAATTAAAACTTTATTGTGGGAGCCGCTACAGTGTTTTGGACAGGTTCAAGCCTTGGACTGAGGAGAGGGCACAGTCCTCTCATTGCCACGTGCAAGGCCCAGCTTGGAGGGCAGGGCCCTTCCAGCACAATTATAGCCAACAGCTGTAGTTGTAAGCTTGAACCTATGGTCGGAACATGTGGCCCCACGTGCCTGAGTGATGTGGGTTTGATAGAGTTCAGGTGCATGTAGTTGAGTAGGATTGAAACCCAGGAGAATGTTTGTAAACATCTTGGCCACGCCCTTACTTTGGCTTGTAGCATCTGCTATAAAATAAAGGCATGGCTGTGGGCGTGGATGCTGTCTCTCAGAGAAGCAGCGTCCCACTGAGACCTGGCTTTCATTCTCTTGCCTGTCTTTTCTAAGCCTTTCAGCCTCCCCACTCAGGTTCACCCCATGCTGGTGTGGCACACTTTAGAAAGATCTGCCTCCACGCTCCCAGGGCAGGTTCCTGCCTCAAACTCCGCCCTTACAGGAAACAGCACCGGGAAACAGCTTAGGGGAGGGCGCAGCCGTTGCCAAGACAACCCCCATAGGACTGACTTCCTTCTGCTCGATCGCTGTTGGTCTGTATGTGACGAACACCACCCATGGTTTTTATATAAGTAGATTATCATCATTATTATTATTATTATTATTATTACTAGCGGCCCAGTGCACAAAATTCATGCATGGGGGGAGAGAGGGAGTCCCCTCAGCTCAGCCTGTACCCTTTCCAATCCAGGACCCCTTGGGGGATGTCCAACTGCTGGTTTAGGCTCGATCCCAGGGATTGGGCCTAAACCGGCAGTCGGACATCCCTCTCACAATCCTGGACCACTGGCTCCTAATTGCTCACCTGCCTGCCGGCCTGATCACCCCAAACTGCCCTGCCCTGCTGGCCTGATCATCCCTCACTGCCCCCCCACCAGCCTAGTTGTCCCTCACTGCCACCCTTGCCAGCCTAATTGCCCCCATCTGCCCCCCCTGCCAGACTAGTCACCCCCAACTGAACCCTTCCACCAGCCTGGTCACCCCTAACTGCCCCCCCCCCCGCCTGCCTGGTCACCTCCAACTGCCCCCCTCTGCTGGCCTGGTCACCCCCAACTGCCCCCCCTGCTGGCCTGGTCGCCCCCAACTACTCCCCCCCCACCCCCCCGCCAGTCTGGTCACCCCATGCAACCTGCTGTTCAGTCATTTGGTCATCCCTCACTAACCACCCTGCCAGCATGGTCGCCCCACACAGCCTGCTTGTTCAGTCGTTTGGTTGTCCCTCACTAACCCCCCTGCCGGCCTAGTAATAGGCGGCCATCTTGTAAGGGCATGAGAGTCAATTTGCATATTACCTCTTTATTATATAGGATTATTATTGTTTAGGATGCACGCTTACTACCTAGCATCCTGGAATGTTTGGTGAATGAATGGGTAAATAGACAAAAAAAAAAACATTCTCTATGGTATACTCATATGATGTTCTACTATGTAAATATATGAAAAATGTCATGGAAATGTGTGCATGAAATAATGTTAAAAGAAAAAATACAAGGGAATGGGCTCACACTGATTAGAAACATGGAAAGATTAATCAATGAGATAATATAAGGTCCTTAATGCTGAAATGAATGTAATATCTATTTTATGACTTTATCAGGCACTTCAGGTTTTGTAGACTCTCGGGTCATTCTTATAATTATATTCTAGTTACATGAACATCTATGTTAATATAGAGAATTCCAGTTTTTACTTATAGTAGTTAAACATTAGATTTGCTTAACATCGTGAAACAGACTCTGTGTGCGAGTGCACAGTCCCTAGTTTACAAACAGGCTGCTTCCTAAAAATGTATGTGCCTGTTGGCACGTTCAAATGCTGGAAGTTAGACTCCCAAGTGAAGCCCCCAAACCATATCTGCGTCATTCCGCAGCTGAACTGCAGTATTTATAGCCTCATCGCCACCATACCGAAATGGCCAGAGATCCTCCCTTCTTCCACGGTGTACCTTTGCAGTTAGGAAAAAATTCTGACAAGCACTGTAGATCCCCTTCACGTCCTTCTTTCTGTTTCTCTCCCTCCGTCCTCCTGATTTTCTTGTTGAGCCTATTAGTGCACCTTATCTTTGCCTGCTTCCTTCATGCACCTGATCTTAACTAGTTTTGGAGAGAAGAGCAATCTGATCAAGTGATAACAGAATGTGTACAAGTGATTATCTTGTATCTTGTATCTCCCATGGTATTCGTGAGAGATGTCTGTGACTTAGAAGAATTGGCATAACTTCGGCAGCTGTGAGGCCAGGGGAGAAAATGGAAAAGTGGAGGATATTTGCCATAGAGACAGTCATATCCCACCACCCCCACAGGCAATCTATGCTTTGCCAAACCCAGTTATTTGCAGTTTCCCAAATTTGGCATACTCTTGTTCCTTGGCACATGCCATTCTCTCTGCCTGCAACACTTACCCCTAATTCTCTGCTTCAAACCCTCTACTTTTCCTTCAGATTTTGGCTCAAGCATCCTCCTTCTGGAATCCTTTCCTACCTGCCCCATGCTAGAGTGTGTTCTCTCCTCCGTGTTCCCATAGCACACAATGAAGTGGTCTATCAAAACATCACACACTATTTGCCCCCTTTACTTGTCTATGTCTTATTTGCTACTGCTTCCTGAGCAATTAGCACAAGGCCTTCCTCTTAACAGATACATAAGCTTTTAGAAGTGCTTTAGACTTATTTGGTTTTGGTAAACTTGTTATTTTCCTGTTTTAAGTCTTACTTCTCCAGTGTTGTTGCCTCTAATGCTGTACATTTAAGCTGTAAGTTTCTTAAATGGTATCAGTGTGCAATCATTAATACTCCTTCTCATACAGGCCTTGATAGAATACAGTCTTTAATCAATCAATTAATATGTGATTGATATCCATTGTGCATGTACCCCTCATCAGACTCTGTGCTTCATGCAGACAGGGTCTGTCTCTGAACTGTGGATCTCAAAGTGGCTGACAGCAGGGACCCAGGAGACTGTCTGCAGGGAGGAGAGAAGGGCCCGGCCCTTCTCTGAGCAGGGAGAGTCATGGAGGATTTAATGAAGGACTGACCAGAAAATCCAAAATATCTAACAATTTGCGAAAGGATTATTTTTCACCAACATCTACAAAAGAACACGAAGCACAATCATCTCAGACAAGTGCACGGAGTCGCCATGCGCTCTGGGGGGAGCCGTACCTCGGCCTTCAGCACGTGCATCAGGTTGCCCTTCTCCATGTACTCCATCACCAGGGAGTAGTTCCCCTCCTCTATGATGATGCCCAGCAGCTTCACCACCCGCTCGTGTCTCAGCCTGTGCATCATCTTGCCCTCCTCCAGGAGGGACGCGTTGTACCTGTGGGAGGGAAAGGTGCTGTGAGGATGGGCAGTTAGCCCCTCTTCCCTTCGTGCGCCCGCCAGTGCAGCCCATGTCTCACGGGCATCTCGGCGCACGTGCTTTTGTCACTACTTGTTGTACTGGTCTCTGCCAGGCACTGACTACAAGCTGTAGAAGGCAGAGTGGTTTCTCCTTCCCAGCGGCTGGCAGGGAGCCCTTAAGAAATGCCACCCTGCTGAGCGAATGAGAGGACAGTAACGTGAAGAGCAGCAGCAACACATGGTCCGAGAAAAGGAATGTGCTGGACAGTGTAAGGAAAACGCAGCCTCGCTCATAGCCACTGTGGCAAGAAGGGGAAGTGAAACAGCACTACCAACTGTTTTAAAGAGAGGGTTCCTGGAACCGCTAGTTAATGAAGCACTTTCTTTTCTTTTCCATACTTAGGGCTAGTCCTCACCAAACATGTGGAGCAAGTCTATTTTCACTGATCTCTCCCATTTCCTTTTCATCACCTTCCTCATCACCCTGATCTCCTTCCCTTTCTCTACTTTAAAAAATACATATATATTATTGACTTGAGAAATGAAGGGGGAGAGAGAGAGAGAGAGAGAGAGAGAGAGAGAGAGAGAGAGAGAGAGAAACATCAATGATGAGAGAGAATCATTGATCAGCTGCCTCCTGCACGCCCCACACTGGGGATCGAACCCATAACCCAAGCATGTGACCTGACTGGGAACTGAACTGTGATCTCCTGGTTCATAGGTCGATGCTGAACCATTGAGCCACACCAGCCTGGGCTTTGTCTACTTTCTTCCCTTCATTTCTTGTCCATTATTTACCAGCTGTAACCTTTTCATCAACCAGCCTCAAAATCCTTGTCAGCTATACAGGGACAGTAACCACCTTGTAGAGCTGTTGGACATGAGCCCGGTGTATACTGACACTTACACCATGGGCTGTCTCATTCTAAAGCCAGTGCCAGCCTTCCCCACCGCAGCCCTGCACCTCTGCAGCCTCCACCCCTGGGGCCAGCCCACGGCGGGGCCGCCCACCCAGCTCCCCGCTCACTCTGTCCGCTTAGGCCCCGTGTACACCTTCTTCAGTATGACGAGCCCGTGGGACCTGTGGAAACACAAAGACACCTTCCCGAAGCCCCCGCTGTCTAGGTGCTCCTTCTCCAGGAAGTCACTAGATGTCATCTTAATGTCATCCAAGGACATGTCTGGTTTCCTTCCGATGCTCAGAATGCTCAAAAACACACCACCTTTTCTTCACCTCAGAGCTGTGCCCTGTAAAGAAAACAGAAACCACCTCAGTGCAGAAAACTCATTATACTAAAACCATGTGTTGGTGGACAATTTTTTGAGACTAGACTTATAATGAACGTTTCCCCATATTTCTAAGAATCACAGAAGACCACAATTTTGATTCCTTAGATTTTCATTTCTGGCAACACGCAGGACTAGAAAAGTTTGAAAACCCTCCTGCTACAAAGGACCCATATATGTTGGGTAACACAATACAAACACACACTCCCATGCACAGCTAGGTCAGCGGGAAGGAAACCCCAGGGACTGAACACACACAGGGCACTGGCCACAAGCCGTGGCCCACACAGTAGCTGCTGTGGACTGAATGTTCGGGGCAGCCCCAAATTCACACATTGAAGTCCAATAAGTAGTATTAGAAGGTGGGGCCTTTGGAAGGTAATTCGGTCAGGAAGGTGGAGATTAGTTTCCTTCTCTCTCTCTCCACCACGTGAGGGCACAAGAAGATGGCCAGTAAGGGAGTCCTCGTCATATACAGGTTTGCTGGCACCCTGACGGTGGACTTCTCAGGCCCTAGGACTGTGAAAAATAAATGTCCTTTGTTTAAGACACTCAGTCTGAAATCTGTCCTAGCAGCGAAATGACTAAGACAGTGGCCCCCTGGGCACAACTAACTCGCTATCCATAAGCCAGGGACGAAAACCCAGATGGGACAAGAGCTGAGGTCAGGAAATGCAAGAAGAGGGTTGAAAGAAAGATCTCCCTTAATGCGGCACTCCTCGGTGTGCTCCCCTACTCTTCCATGAAAGGATGGACTAGAAAAAAAGCAGCCCATTAGCAAAGGAACTCACCTTACACTGGGCCTGGGGTATAAAAAATGTGAACTCATTACCTTGGGGCTGTCCTCAAATAGACTTGAGCTTTGAATGTAGCCAGGATTCTTATAGCCATGACTCCCCAAACCAAGAACTTTTACATAGAAAGTAGTCACACACTGATGGCATCCCTGGATTATAATCCTAAAGCAAACACAACACAATCCAGCCAGGCCAGACAAGATTCCCAGAAATAAAGAACTAAGTTAACGTAGGCTCCCTTTCCAAAATTATAAAACACAAAGAAAAAGTTCATCATGAACCAGACTCAGCTGAATATTAGGCATTATAGGTAATTAAATTGCTGAATAGCTCTAAGATAATTATGAACATAAGAAGGAATTTGAAGAGTATCAAAAGAACAATGCACTATCTAAAAAGAACAGGAAGATGTGAAAAAAATGAGGATTTGGAGAATCTGTACATCAATGCTATGAAGTATACAATGCATACAATTTCAAAGAACAACTATCTGCTTCATCCTTCTACTCTTCTTCCATTCACTGTATTCATTCAGTTTCCCTAAATTGAAATGAAGAATAAAAATCCATGGGGCAGGACAAGACACTACTACACACTCACCAGAATATACAAATAATGGCGAAAATATGAAGCAACTGGAATTCCCATTGTGTTGGTAGAAGTATAAAATTGTACAATCACTTTGGGAAAAGGTCTGGCAGTTTCTTATAAAACTAAACATATACCTACACTATGACCCTGCAATTCCAAGCCAAGAGAAATGAAAACATATGTCCCAAAAGATTTGTGCAGTGTTCATAGCAGCTTTTTTGGTAATAGCCCCAAACTGGAAACAGCTATTTATCAATAAGAGAATGGGCAAAAAGCCCCTGTGGTATATTCATACAATGGAATACTAGCCAGCAATAAAAAGAAACAAACTACCAATACACACAACAATGTGAGTGAATCACAAATACATTGTGCTGAGTAAAGCCTTTTACACAAGAATGTATACTACATAATTCCATTTATATAAAGTTCTAGAACAGTCAAATTAATCTGTGTTGTTAAAGAAACACTGGTTGCCGGGGCCAGAGTAAGGATTGAGTGGGATGAGGCATGGGAGACTTTCTGGGGTGAAGGCAATGTTTTAGCATCTCAGTGGGGAGTTAGGGTTATACAGGCATAAGCATTGGCCAATACTCAGCAGGTAATACTCTTCGGAACTGTAGGTACGCTTTACATCAAAAGAAAAATGTGTAAACATATTGAACTCTGGCAAGTGGGGTGCATGCTGAAATACTTAGGGGGAAGTATACTGATATCTCTGACTTACTTTGCAGACAGACTGGTAGATAGAGAAAGGGAAAAGTGATGGATGCCTATGCAATAAAGCAAGCAGAGTAAAATTATGTTAATGGTGGATATGTGTGAGTTCACTGTAAAAACTTTTTAACTTTGAAGTTTTTATAATAAAACTAGAGGCCCGATGCATGAAGATTCGTGCAAGAATGAGCCTTCCTTCCCCTGGCTGCTGGCACCACCTTCGCTCTGGCCTGGAGCAGCCTTTCTGCCTTCGTTCCGCCCAGAGCCGCCTTTCCGCCTTCCCACGCTGCCCAGAGGCCCAGAGCGGCTGGGGCGGTGCAGAATGCAAGCGTCCCACCCCGCTCTTGGCACTCAGCACCTGCATATGCAAATTAACCCACCATCTTTGTTGGGCTAATTTGCATACTCACCCCTGATTGGCTGGTGGGCATCGTGAAGGTATGGTCAATTTGCATCTTTCTCTTTTATTTGTGTAGATGTTGAGGAGTGGGGAAATTTTAAAAAATAAAAGTACCTGGAAGGGTTTCTGAAAATGCCTGGGCTGACAGTGGTCTTGTGCGGTGGCCGGCTGCAGTTGGGCTCAGGTCACCAGCCTCTACACCTTGTACAAAGGCTGTGGGTGGGCCCTGCCACCCAACCACGTGCACATATCAGAACAGTAGAGGACACCATGGCCCCTTCCTGTAATGTGAGTCATCATCTGTAATATGAGTCATCACCAAACAAGACGAAGCACCCTTGAAAAAGTAGCCCATCTGTGGGTCAGAGGTGGGGGAGGAGGGAGGCTGTTCACTCATGAAGACTGAGAGGACACAGGGTCAAGCAGGCACTGAAGGTGAGGGAGTGGAGGCCATCATGATGGGGGGAAAAGCACTGGCCTTCCTTTCTCTTGATTGAAATATAGTTCTGTAATTTATTAGCTCTGTGCCTTGGGTACTTCACATAAGCCTCACTTTTTTCATTTTCAAAAGGAAATAATGACGGTGTCACAGGACCAATAAGGATTATATAAGAACAAACATTTGAAAACACATTTGTCGCCTGTTTTATGGCTCTGGCTCTGGTTGGCCCAGCTGCCCACATTCATCCACATTCATCCCATTTTCTAGGCTTTGCAAATGGCAACAGGCAGCTGACATCACTTTGCTCAGCAGTTCTCCACTGACCAATCCTTGTGAATTGGTGTAAGAAATAAAACATATTTCAGCATTTGTTTTAGGCCTCCTTTTCCATTTCTATAGATCCTCTGCAGCACACAGAAACCATCTTAGGAGGGTATTTTACCCCGCTCTTCCATTACAACCCCTTTAGGTACAGTCTTTTCCTAGCTACATGCTACTCATCCTTCAGGTCTCAGACTTTATCATACCTCAGGGAAGCCAGCCTGAGTCTTCCCATAAGACATTTCCACAGAACCCTGTATTTCTCCCTTGAAAGAGTTAAGACAGCTGTAATTTGAGATTTCTAAGAAACCTCACAGAGGTGAGGGCATGAGTGCGGGGGCTTGGGGGGATAATGGGGAGGTAGTGGGGGGATAAAGACACATATGTGATACCTTAATCAATAAAGAAATTAAAAAAAAAGAAACCTCACAGAAGGTAGGACACACTTACTTACTGTCTCCAGTGCCTAGCACAGAACCTGATATGTGGCAGTTGATCATTGAATGGACAATTATTTTTTTAAAGAATTCTTTAATTGTTCCAAAATAAATGGTATAGTTAATTATGGCACATTCATAAAATGGAATATTATTTAACCATTCAAAATTGTAGGCTGTAAGTTAGATATACATATGTAATGAAAGATACCGAAATATTAGCAAGGCATATATTTGGATGGCAGGATGATTTTTATTTTCTTCTTTACACTTTTATTAGATTTCACAAATTTTCTATAATAAATACAAATTACTTTAATAATGACAATTTTTAAAGGAACTCAAAAGTTCTTTATTCTGAGGAATCAAATCAGAGATGCTGATAAAAATTATGTACATACAAGGATGTTCCCAGTAACCTTACAGAGAACAAAAAAAACCATGTAGAACAATTTACATATACAGAGGAAAGAATAAGTTATGGCCCATTCACACTCTGAAATACATCTAGCAGGCTTCAAAAATGATTTTATATGTGAATATTTAAAAACATTTAAGAAAAACTCAGATTAAGGAAACATGTCCTGAAATACACCTATTGGGGTATAAAACTTCAGTTTTCTGAGTTCTATTTGGATCTCTCCTTCAGCTCAGGTCTTACCTCCCCAAATCTGCCAAGACAACTAAGACTTGAAGTGTCTCCTGTGAGCATGGTGCTCTCGTGAAGGCCTCCAGGTGAGTCCACTGCACTCTGTAAGGTTGGTTCCTGTCCCAAGTCAATTCTCCTTATAAGTCTGGCAGTTTGCTGGTTTAGTCTGATCTTTCTTAATCTATTAACTTTTCCATTGTTTCCAATGATTTCTAATTTTTACTCCTTACTCCCTTTTCTTCCATTAACAATTCAACTTTATAAGCACTGAATATCTTAGGAAGGCCCTGTCAGTGGTTTACACACCCATGAGTCACAGAAACACTGCCAGTAGGCAGGTATAAACCACCTTATAAAGTCACGTTACACAGCAATTAAGGAAAGCACACTGGCCTGTTATCTCATGTTATGACAACTAATTGTGTCCACTGTAGTGGGATAAATGGATATTGATTCAGGGACTCAGAGAAGCAAAAGTTTTCCACTGATACTGATTAAAAATTCCAAGAAATTTCATGAAGTATCTATCTATAAGGCAGTGGAGTCTGTATATTAAATTATTCAGACCTATATTCAATTAATGTTTGTCAATTATATCTCAATAAAACCAGGGAAAAATATAAATGAAAAATAATTAATACCCCCAAAACAGGCAGAATTAATTTATGGTATTAACAGGTGGGAGACAGGAGATAGTGAATGAGAGGAAGTATAGGGGGGTTTCAGGAGGGATAGCAATGCTCTATTTTCTTAATTTGAGTAATGTTCACTTTGTGATTCTACATACAGCTGTATAATTATGATTTGTACATCTTTCCTTACATGTTATACATCAATAAAGAAGTTTTTTAGTCCTGGCCAGTTTGGCTCAGTGGTTGAAGGGCCAAGTTCAATTCTGGTCAAGGGCACATACCTCAATTACAGGTTTGATACCCGCCCCAGTTGGGGCACATGTGGAGGCAGCCAATCGATGTGTGTCTTTCACAACGATGTTTCTCTCTTGGTCTTTCCCCTTCCCTTCCACTCTAAAAATCAATGGAAAAATATCCTCAGGAGAGGATTAACAAAAAATAAATAAAAGTTTTTTAAAGACTTTAGAAAATATATTTAACCTTTCAGGGGTAGAGGATGAGTTTTTCAATTCAATGACCGTAATGAGTCTGACAAAAAAATGTTGGTTGCTTACCTATTATTGCCCCCACCCACCCACTGCCCTTTCCCTGCTAATAGGACTCTGACTTTACTCATGTATCTAACTTGGACTTCTCTAAAGTTTTATGATTATATAGCTTGATGCTTTCCCCAGATGAATGAGAACTCTGAGCAAGGAAGAGCCAAATGATGAACAAGAGACAAGACTGAAGAAGTTTAACCGCATTACCATGTCCATTAGCACACTGTGACACCGTGAAATAAGTTTTAGTCTCATTAATCCAATTTAAAAACAAAGAAACTAAAATTTGGAGTTGAATGAGTCACCTGAAGTGGCAGAGCCTTTGACTCTTCACTCAAACTTCCACTGTTAATTCACTAACAACATGCTACTTCATCTAGACAGCAAACTATAATCTGTCCTTGTTAAAAATCAGATGCAAGTACCCAATCTTGTAATCCTGCTCACCTATATTAAATCAGTATCCTAAAAGCACAAATATGAGGAATATAGACTAAATTTTAAAAACATGAAAATATATGGTTCAAAATAAATATTCTACAGGTTAATTCAATCACTTTTGCCAGAGTATAATATCCAACCAAAGCATACAAAGGTATATTTTTCAAATTCCCAGATCATATTAATGGTATTAACATGTTATGGATTAATAAGCACCAAATAATAGTTTGCCATTTTGGAAATTGGTATTTTAAGACTTTTTATTAGCTTTTATTAATAATATTCACAATCCTGAAAGTGGAACGTATCTCTAGTGGTCAATATAGGGCAGATTGAGGGAAATGAAAATTAAATAATTGTTATTGCTATTTTATTAGCAATAATAACGATGACAATACACCCTAAATTTTGAACAGGCATAGTCTCCACTTTTTGTGTTTAGAAGAGCTTCGGTTTTCCACATTTCTAATTGACTACCATTTCTTCCTTAATCTAGCACTAACCAGGTGGTTACAAACTGCAAATCAAGTACTGTCACTCTACATTCCAAAGTTGACTCAGAGCCTTGATTTCTTCAAGTGTAAACCAGGGAAGAAAGGGACTTCTGCAAAGCTGGTTGATTATAACAGCCTCAGGCTTTATCAGAAATAAAAGTTCTGAGCAAGGAAGAGACAAACCATCAGCAGGACACAAAGAGGAGCGTCACCCCCTACTCACCCCGACACACACAAACACTCCCTGCGGGTTTTTGTCAAATGCTTTTAAGGATGGAACTAATCTTCTTCATAAAAGCAAATGCCACTGACCACCGAAGAGGTCTCCTAGGGTTATGACATCAGCCGCTTTGGGCAATGGGGCTGTTGACTCTTCTTTCCCATTTGCTAGTTCACGCCTAAAATTATGCGGAAATGCTTTTGATTGTGCTTGCAACCCGCTGTGTCCCCAAGTGCAACAAAAAGGTCCTTTCAGAGATTGGTAAGAAGTCCAAGGCAGACACACCTACTAACCCTATTATGGCAACAGCAAAGGCGACTGTAACTTACTGAAACCGCAATGAAAGCTCATCATTCCCACCAAAATAATAAACCCAAGGTCCTGTCCCAACGTCACACAGCTTTCGTGGCCGGAGGGGAGGTCTCCGCCCTCGTATGGCTTTACGCCAAAAGCTCCGAGGAGCAGGTGGCTGAGCCTTGGACAGTCGGCCTTGCGCCCGAATTCCGGGAGCGCGGGCGGCGGTTTCTAGGACTAGGTAACATTTCCTTTCCTGTGTCCTCCCAACTCGCTTTAAGAGTCAAGCTGGGATCCTTTGGCCGGAAGATCTCGGGGAGCCCGCCGACCTAATTCTCCGGAGCAGGAAAGAGCGGGGAAGGGAAACTCGTCCGACTTCCGGGAATCCCGGCTCACTCACAACGACTTCCGGGAACGTCGCGGGCCCCACCCACCACCCGATGGGCCATTCGCCGCTCGACTTCGGGGCCCCGCCCCCAGCTCACCTGGAGCCCCGCCCATCTCAGGCCCCACCCATTCCGGCATCCCAGTTCGCGGAACTTGCCCGTTGCCGCCGCTGCCTCCGCGCAGACGTACCAGATAGTTATGTACTTTCGTTTTCGCGGCAAATCTCTCCAAGTTCGAGGCCGAAGGAAACAGTGCTGGAATCCGGTTACTCTGTTTTCGCGCCGCCTCGCGGGGTCGCACCCGGGAAGGACGCCGGAGCCTGACGGAGTCCGCAGGGACAGCTCGGAGACTGGACCGCAGCGGCCGGCCGCTCCGCGCTCACCGCCCCCGGCTCGGTGGGCCGCGCTCCCTCGCCCAGTGGGCAGCTCGCTCGGCACCTGGGGGTGTGGGCCGGGACCGCCGCGCTGCGGAGCCGCCCAAGGGTCCGGGTCCGGTGTCCGCGCTGCGGAGCCGCCCAGGGGTCGGGGTCCGATGTCCGCGCTGCCCGCGCCTCAAGTGAGCGAAACTCCGGGGCGGGCGGCGGGGCGTGGACTGCTCGCTCTGCCTCCACCCCCTGGTGGAGGAAGACGGGGCGAGCGCCCGCCCTGCGCCGCGGCGCTCCGTTCCCCGAGATCTGTGAGCATCCCAGCCTCACTCTGAAGCGGATTGGGAGGCCAGGAAAGAGGAAATGTTACCTGGTCCTAGAAACCTCTGCCACCGGGAGAGGCCGCTCGGCGGAGTGGACAGCGCCGGTGGGTTGCCTGGGGGGGTGGGGGGGGGTTACCCAGAGGATGGGTTACCCAGAGGATGGGTTACCCGGGGGGTGGGTTAACCTAGGTCCTAGGCTAGGGGATGGGTTAACCAGAGGGTAGGATTCTGAGCTCTTCGTATAGCAGACCTAGACCCTCAGGCAAATTACCCTCTTCTTTCTTCACTTGTAAGTTGAGGCTAATAAAATCTCTGGGGCTGTGGAGGGAGAAATGTAATTATTTATTTTGTAACCTTTTAAAATGGTGATGGGGAAGTCTCAAGCAAAATGGAAAATGCTTGCTATAGTGCTGTATTAAAAAGTCAATTATACATACTGCATGATCACATATTGTAAAAAGATAGTCACGTGAATGAGAAGCTACAAACTGAAAAAAAATATTTGAAAAAGATATGTCTAATAACTGTTATCCAAAATACATTTGACCCTTAACTTGGCTTTGTACTTTGTGGGACTACTAATATGGGATTAAAAAAGCTGTTTTTAAGTGGACCCACGCAATTCAAACCCACCTTGTTAAAAGGTCAAGTGTATTTCTATGTTGGAGGGCGGCTTAAGTTATACCCACATTTACGACAGCTTGGGTGGTGGGTTCCCCAACACCCCCACCTCTTGTTTAAGGGCCAACTAAAAACACTCAACAATTAAGAAAAGGAATAACCTAATTAGGAAGTAGACAAAATACCTGAATAAACATCTGAAGATACAGATGGCAAGTAAGAATGTGAAAAGATGCTCACCATTATAGGGAATTGCAAATTTGAATAAACACCGGGATACCACTCTTACATATGTACTAGAATGACTAAAATCCAAAATACTGACAACACCAAATGTTGGTGAGGATGTGGAACAACAGGAATTCTCATTCATTGTTTGTGTGAATCAAATTGGTAAAGCCACTTTGGAAGAAAATTTGACAGTTTTTTTTGTGTTGTTTTTTTTTTAAAGCAAAAACTGCCTTACCATATGACTCAGCAACCATATGTCTTGGTATTAACCCAAATGAATTGAATATTACTCAGTTCCAAAAAAGAAATGTGCTATCAAGCCCCCAAAAGACATGGCTGAACCTTAAATGTTTATTTCTAAGAGAAAGAAGACAATTTGAAAAAGTTCATAATATGTGATTCCAACTATAACATTCTGGAGAAGGCAAAATTGTGGAGACAAAAAAAATCCGTGGTTGTCAGGTTTGTGTGGAAGGATGGGTCAATAGGTGGAGCACAGGATCTTAGGGCCATGAAATTATGTATGATACTACATTGGTGGGTACATTATACATTTGTCAAAACCCAAAATGTACAACAGTGAAACCAAATGTAAAGTATGGACTTTGCTTAATAATGATGTGTCAGTGTTGGTTAATTGTTGGACTTTACTTAATAATGAATGTACCACACTGCAAGATGATGATGGGAGAGGCTTTGTGTTTTGGGGGACTGTGTGGGGGTAGAAAATGCGGAATGACTCAGCAACCACGTGGCTTAGTATTAACCCAAATGATATGAAAGCTTATGTCTATACAAAAGGCTGCATATAAATGTTTATAGCACCTATATTAATTGCCAAAACTTAAAGGCAACCAAGATTGTCCTTCAATAGGTGAATGTGCAAAAAACAAACAACAACAACAAAAACCACCTGTGGTCCACCCATACTGCATGATCACTCACTTTTGCTGTGAAACTAAAATTGTGTAAAAAAAAAAAAGCCGTAAAAAAAAGTTACATGTATGATGAAAGGGTTACCTATTCATTTAACAAACATTTCTAAATAGTGTATAACAAATATGTACTAGATACAAGAATATCTGATGGTAGATACAAATGATATAAAAAGGCATTTATTCAGATTACCTGTTGTAGGCACTAAAGACTTGGTTGTTAATAAATGAAATATCTCTACCCTTAATGGAGCTTACGCTCTAATGGGGAAGATGAATGACCGAATAAACTATGTAGTATGTTGTTAGGAAGTATTAAGAGAGAAAAAGCACCAAAGTTGGATAGATGTTCATATATGTGTGGGTAGTATATCACAATTTTAGATGGCGTGGCCAAGGAAAATCTCACTGTAAAGGTGATGTTTGAGTAAACAACTCAAGGAAGTCAGGGAGGAAGCCATGAGGATATCTTGGGGATAAGCATACAGAGCAGAGAAAGAGGAGAACAAGGGCAGAGGCTCAGAGATGGGAGCAGAGGGAGGAGGCACATGTGGAATAAACAAGACAGAAAGTAACAATAGAGGATAAGGTCAATGAACAGGGAAAACTGAGGACTTAATGGATGATTTAAAAAAACAAAAACATATATATATATATATATATATATATAAATTTCAGAGAGGAAGGGAGAGGAAAGAGAAACATCAATGATGAGGAGAATCTTTGATTGGCTGCCTCCTGCATGTCCCCTATTGGGGATCAAGCCCGCAACCTGGGCATGTGCCCTTGACCCGAATCGAACCTGAGACCCTTCAGTCTGCAAGCTGACACTCTAGCCACTGAACCAAACCAGCTAGGGCTTATGGGCGATTTTAAGAAGATTGCTTTTTATTCTGAATGAGTCGAGTCATTGGAGGGTTTTGTGCAGAGAAGAAGCATACTCTAAATTATAATAGGATTGCTCTGGCTACTCAGTTGAAAATAGACTGCAAAGGAACAAGAGCAAGGCAGGAGGTTAGTGCAGAAATGCAGACAGGTGAGGATGGCTTGAATGAGAGTGATAGCAATAGAAGTAACAAGAAATTGTCAGATTCTGGATAAAATATGAATGTGGAAGTGACAGGATTAGCTTAGAGATCAGAAACTGTGGGAAATAACTGGAAAGTTTTTTTCCCTGAGCATAACTTGAAGGTCAGAGTTGAACAGTGCAAACAGCAAGTTTGTGAAAATAGATCTCTGTTTGAACATGTTAATTTGAGATGTCTGTTAAACATCCAGGTGGAGATGTCAGGTAGGCAGGTGGGTATCTGAATATGGAGCTCAAGGAAGGGGTCCAGGTTGAAAATGTAAATCAGAATGCCATGAACACACAGATGGCATCTAAAGCTGTGAGTCAAGATACCAAGGGAAAGAATGTAGATAGAAAAGAGGTCTGAGGAATGAGGCCTGAGGTCCTACAATATTTGTGAATTGATGAGATGGAAGAGCAGCCACCAGGAAAATAGGAGGAAACTAGGTGTGTGTGGGATCCTTAAGAGAATTATTAGTTGTGCCAAATGCTGCTAATATGTCAGGAAAGATGGACTGAGAATTTACCATTGCATTTGGTAACATGGGAATTGTCAAAGACCACAATAATGGAAGTTTTAGTAGTATGGTGGGAGTAGATTCAAGAAAATGTTTGAGGACATGGGGAGAGAGACTGAGTATAGTTAGGTCTTAAGGAATTTTTCAGAAAAGGGACTGAGATGAATAGTACAATAGAGGTGAAAATGGTGTAAAAAAAGTTAAGATCTCATATTTATTCTAAAACACTTCACAGTCTTTTGGAGAGACTTTTTTTCCCCATACAAATATTTACTAAGGGGAATGGTAAAGGTATGTGCCAGGTGTTATGACAACAGGAAAAGGTTCTACTTATCAGGATAATAATTCTCAAGAGGTAGAAAATCAGGAAAGACTTCACAAATATGAGTATTCTGGTCTTGATAGAACATACAGAATGAATCCTTCCATTGAAAACAATAATGCAACATGGACAAAACATGTAAAATGACTGCTTGAAGGCATTGGAGAGCAGCTAACACAGGGAGGACTAAAGAGGCTACTGTCCTTGAGAAAGAAAGCATATGAAGTGAGCTCCATATTCATTCACACAGCATTTTCTCCCAGGGCATTTCTAATTCTGTGTAAAGGGTAGTAGAGCCCAAGCAGAAAGTAGCAGTCCCACTGGTTGAGTAGGTCAGAATCTGGAACCTAAGCAGCAAAATCTTAGGAGGGTACTAAAGAGAAATGACTGCAAAATTGTCCATTGAAATTATACTGCAATGATTGGCTGATAACTAAGCTGCACGTTTGTAGGGACAGACTCCAGGAAACCAAACAGGCAAGAGCAAATCAAAGACTAAAAAGCTGAGCCGAGTTTTCAGTAGCTCCATAGTACTAGCAAAATAGATGTTGGAGTTCAAGCCCTGCTAAGCTGGAGAGGCTCTGAGGAATACTCTAATCTTTCTATCAATATATCAGAGAAGGGGCAGGCCGTATCAAGACCATGCTTGTTTTAATCTGCCCAGGCTACCGTAACAAAATACTATAGACTGGGTAGCTGAAACAACTCACATTTATTTTCTCATTGTTCTATAGCAGTTGTTCTCAACCTTCTGGCCCTTTAAATACAGTTCCTCATGTTGTGACCCAACCATAACATTATTTTCGTTGCTACTTCATAACTGTAATGTTGCTACTGTTATGAATTGTAATGTAAATATCTGATATGCGGGACGGTCTTAGGTGACCCCTGTGAAAGGGTCGTTCTACCGCCAAAGGGGTCGTGACCTACAGGTTGAGAACCGCTGTTCTGAACATGTGGCTGGATGTTTGAGATCAGGATGCCGACATGCTCAGTTTCCGGTTAGGCCTCTCTTTCTGGCTTGTAGGTGGCCACCAGCTCACATGACCTTGTCTCTGTGCATGTGTGGAGAGAAAGTTCTATGGTGTGTCTTTTAATAAGAGCACATATCCCATGTGAGGGTTCCATCCTCATGACCTCATGTAAACCTAATTACCTGCTAAAGAACCCGTCTATAAATGTCAACACACTGG